GAGAGAGAGAGGGAGGGAGGGAGGAAGGGAGGGAGGGATGGAGGGTGAGAGGAAGAAAAGAAAGACAGGAGGAAGAAAAGTGGGGTTGCTGATTGGCTTCCTAGTCAGGGCACATTCCTGGGTTGCAGGCCAGGTCCCCAGTAGGGGGCGCATGAGAGGCAATCACACATTGATGGCTCTCCCTCTCTTTCTCCCTCCCTCTCCCTCTCTCTAAAAATTAACAAATAAAATCTTTTTTAAAAAAGGAAAGAACACAAACTGATTCTTTGAAGTTGGGGTTATCCTTCAGATCAGTGATTCATTCACTTTTTTCATTTAATAAATGTTTATTGGTCACTAACTGTATGCCAGGTATTTTTGTAGGCACATTATTTTGTAATTACCATGTCTATTGTCTTCTTCATAATGGGTCTCTATTAGAGTTTTAATTTCTTAAGAGCAGAGACAGTTTTTTCATTGCATTAAGGGGTCAATAGTTGCCTCTTGCCTGAATAAATGAAAAAGAGGAAAGTTTCTTAAAACTTAATGAAAGTCTTAAGAAAGATTTGGCTCAATTACATTTACATTCAAACAAAAACAAAAACCAGTTGCTCTTTAAATCTCACTATGTTATTAAATTAATTTTAAATGTTTATAATTGTCATAACTTCACTACCCTAACATATATGCATTTTTCCATGTTTTAAATTTTTTTCACTATTTACCTGCATATTTTTACATATTTGTATTTTTAATGTATTTCCATGTCATCCTCTGCCTTTCCACTTAATATTAATGGCAAACGTTTTTGTATGTTTTTACATTATCATCATCTTTATGACTTTCTGTAATTTGGTAATTTCTCTTTTCTTATTTTTGAGATCCCTCTTGGGTTCCCTGTGGTCACTAACAATGTAACCCCCCTGAACATATGTAGGTGTTTTTGCGCTTCTTCCATGGCCAGAAAGGTAAGAGAGCCACTGGTAAAGTGCATCACATTCTGGAGGAAGAAATGATGCCACACCAGGGAACACACATACAATCAATCCCAGGTGCACTCAGGGAGAAGAAAGGTGCACCTAGTGAGCTGCTCTGAACTGAGAAGAGTGTGTGGAGGGTGGTATTTAGCTTCATTCTGCAGTTTAATTTGTTCCTATCTCCTTGCCTGCCTGTATACACCTGAAAAACTTCTGCTTTTCGTTCTCTTTTGCATACAGCTTTTGTTTTCAATGTGCTGCTATTGAGTAGGGAAAAACAAGAGAACAACAGACTTCAGGGATCTGACTATTTCTCTTCCGCCTTTCAATGGAGCTCAGCTCTATTGCCACTTGTTATTTTCAAGTGTGAGATGAGTACAGGGAAGGACTACTGTGTGTGACACAGGATGCTTCCTCCACTAATTGAAAAAATTAGTGGAGAAAGGAGAGGTTTATAATAGCTTTTCTTCTGCCATGCTCATCCTGGAAACAAGTAGGAGCTATATTAGCAAAATTATATTTAAAAAATTCAAAATTATATTGAAAGAAATTTTTTTAAGTTTTACTTTTTGCCTACTCTTCTGGAATAGAACTAATTTCGAATGAAGCAATGAGGAAATGACCTTTGTAACTAAATGTTCATTAATGTGCTGTGAGCTAAACCCAGGATTGCAAATGGAAGATCAAACTAAGGAATGAAAAGAGGGAAGTCTTCTGGGTGCCTTCCCCTCAAATCTTGGACAGAGGCAATGTTTTGTAAAATAGAGAATTTAGATTTAGATTATTTTTAAAGAGATTTTATTTATTTACTTTTTTTAAAAAAAGGAAGGGAGGGAGAAAAACAATAATGTGTGAGAGATACCTGGATTGGTTGCCTCTTGCATTCCCCCAAATGGGGACGTGGCCCACAACCCAGGTATGTGCCCTGACTGGGAATCGAACCAGCAACCTTTCAGTTTATGGGCTGGCATTCAGTCCACTGAGCCACACCAGCCAGGGCTGATTTAGATTATTTTGTGTTAATTTATTTTCTCTTAGTTGCTACCACTTATCAAGTTATATTTCAGCAGTCCGGGTATGATTTAAGCTATAACATGCATGCTTGGGCCACAGTTTAATAGAGACCAACAGCATCCTCTGGAAGCCAACATGTTGATGGCAGGTATAATTAGAGAGAGATCCTAAGAGGAAGATGAATCTGATGGTGGATGCACCCGAAATTTGAAAACTAAATTGTTTTAGGGGTCCCTTCCAATAGATCTGCCAAATCTTGAACATTATTATTTTGGTTTTATTTTATTTTTATTACAAAAGGCAGCTTATTCTTTCTAAAGTATACTCAAGCCCAAAAGAACTCTTTTGAAAATATTTAAAGTCATGTGAGGAAATTAAGTCAAGTAGAACTTAAATAATGACTTTTATTATAGGTTCTAAGATCTAGCAACAATTAATAAATAGTATGAGTAAAATCAGCATGAATTTATTACATATCCAAAGTCTCATACACCTGGAATTTCTATAATAGGCTCAGTCATTCATCCATTCTTTCACTGAACATTTACTAAATGACTATTCAGTGCAGTAGTACAGGCAGTATTATAGGCAGTGAGTGGAAGGAACATTGCCATTATCTATGTCAGTTTTTAATAATTTCAGAATCTGTTTGGATAAGCAAGGGTAATTGTGTGTCACATAAATACTTCAAGGCATATGAATGAGCCACCCACTTAGGACCTTATGTATATTTTGCTAGAGTATATGTGCATCCCTGAAAACCTCACTTGAGAGGACAGAAGGTGGCTGATACTACTCACATTCTTCTACTACGACATCCTGCCTGAAATTTAGTAAACTCAATCACCATTTACTATAAAGTCCCACAATTTAAATACCAGGCAATTATAGCATATGGTGTTTTGACCCTAATAAACCTTGTAAATAACCAAAATACACAGGATATTTATCTTTGTGGCAGGACTCCAGGTAATATTTGTAAGATCGGAGGTAAGAATACAAGTGGAGGCCAGTGTACCATGTGCAACTGCTTGAGTACGTACTATGGTACATTGTCAGTGTTGGTAGCACAAATAGGAACACCAAGAGAAGGAAAATTTGCCCTTGGCACCATTTTGTTATGCAAAACAATACTTTTCAAGAATTTATTGCATGCAAGCTGAGAGAAAGGATTCTGTAAATTAACTAACTATTCGTCATTTTTTTTAAACCTAAGCTCTTCTGCTTTTCAAATTCTGCCTGAACTTCACAGCAGCTTATTTCTGAAATGGGCAGCTCTGTTACCCAGAGATTGTCACTGCACATGGAATCCAGTTTTTGTTTTAAAGACATAGGGCAAGAGATACAGTTTTCCCCTGGGGCCAAACAATGTCCGTCGTGAGACAGGGTATTTATGACTGTAGGCCAGTGTTCCATATTAGAGTAGGTGTGGCAGAGGCATTTATATATTTTTAAAATAAGTTATTGTGTGCATTTGTGATAGGCAAGGTCTCTGAAAGCATGGGGTCCAGGAAAGAGGCATTTCCTGCCCAGCTGTAAGAGTGTGAGTGCTTTGTGATACTGGGAATTTAATGCCAATCATATTTGTGTGGAGATCTAGATGGTTGTATTTTTTTCCAGAATTTTCCAGCATCATAAAAGATAGTACTAGACTAATGGGTTAGAGAATGGTAACATATTTCTAAGTATGACTTTCCCCAAAACTAGGTGCTAATGACAATATTATGAAGACTTTCTACAGGAAAGAAATAGCAAACTTCTATACAAAAAGAGAATAGTACAGTGAACCACAACATTTCCATTACCTAGCTTCAACAATGGACACTTCATGGTCAGTCTTGTTCCATGTGTACTCCTATTCATCTCCTGACCCTCAATGAATTTTTAAGAAAATTCTACATGTCTTATCATTATATCCTATATGTATATCTAAAAGATATTCATAAAAAGATATGACAATACTATTACCCAACTAGTCCCAATTCAACACTTTCCAGTTTCATCCATGTAAAAGGCACCACGTGGCTTTATTTTACTTTTAAGGATGTAAATAAATTTCAGTGAAGAAACAGTGTTGTTTGTTATGCCTGAAGTCACAAGATCTGGGGAGGTGTGACGTGTAGTTAAAGCTACACTAAATCTGTTTGAGGGCTTGGCATCAAGAGCTGCCGACCTGGTGACAGTGAACTTGAGACCTCTGTACAAAAGCTGAGTTCTTTTCACTTAACTTTTGGGAATGCAAGGCATGGGAAGGGGATTTAGTTTTTCTGTTATGCTGAGGCATGTTCAAACTTGTTTCCTTTTCCAAAATGTTAAAGTTGCTAAGAGAACCATGGACTTACACGAACAAGAGACTGAAGAGACTAAAAAAAAAAAAAAAAAAAACAACCCATGCCTGAGTCAGGGAAATTTGTTCGTTTCGGATCTTGTTCCTGCTGTCAGCCATCCTGGTTAGTTTGCGCCAGGCGTGCTAGAGGTCATGGACTTGGTGCCTGAGTCTCGCGCCGCTCCAGTGGCAATCTGGCGACACTGGGCGTTTCCCTCCTTTTCCGGCCTCGGAAAGTTTTCTTTTGGTTCTTAGTGCCCTGTCAAGGAAAAGCACCCTATTGACCAAAGGTTTCTCAGAATCTCCTCCAAGTGGCTAGCGGCCAAGTTTCCCCTATCCCAACTTGCCCAGCCTCAGGATCCATTTGGATCCTGGAAGGCACGGGAAGGGAGTCTAGTGAGAAGAAACTGAGCTGGCAGCCAAGCTACGGGCTCAACTGCCGCTAGCTGGCCCCTCTCTTAGCTCAGTCCCTGGTCCGGTACCAGTCACACCACAGAGGGTGCGGATAGTCGTCCCGATGACTCCTCAGGGTTCCGGTTCTCCACCATTCCCAAGAGAAGACTCAATCTACCTCCACTCGCGCTAGGGAGAGAAAAAAAGGCCGGCCACTAAAACCCGGGAATGAGACCTCGGGCGCATGCGCGCACCAGACGGCTTTAAGTGTTTGTCCCGTCCCAGCAGCCGCTAGGTGGCGCATGCGCCCTGGAGGGTACGGGCTGGACTCTGGGAAGAAGGCGGTGGCGGTGAAAGGCGGGGGCGCAGTGGGGGCCGGGCCGGTGTTTACACAGCGGCGGACGGACGCGGACGCAGAACCCGGCGCGGCGGCGGCGGCGGCACGATGGTCATGGCGCATTTCGTCGAGAGTTTTTGGGTAAGAGGAGGATATTAGAAATTGTGTGGGTTTCGGAGTCCAAGGCTTTCTGCGCTTGGGACCGTAGCGGCAGCGGCTCAGCGGACAGGGTGAGCGTCCTCGGACCGCCGCCTGCTGTGTTCCGCCTGGATAAAGCCTGGGGGGCGAGGAGTCGGCGGCCGTCCGGACTCGCGGGCTCGCAGCCCTTGCGGGGAACGGGAGCTGGCAGCGTGGCCCCTCAACCCGCGGCGGGGAGACTGAGGACTGGCCGCGCTGGGACAAAGCGCGAATGGGGCGGGAGACGGGATCCGGCCCCGGAGGCTCCGGGCGCCGGGCGTGCTCGGCAGCTGGGACGCCCACGACGGGCCGCGGCGCGGCCGCCCCCAGCTGTGCGCTGTCGGAGAGCGCGGGCCCCAGCCAGGTGGAGGGGGCTCGACTCGCTCCCGCGCCAGCCCACCATCTGAGCCCTTTTGCCCCCCACCATTTTCACACTGAATTCCGTGCTGAGGCCGGATCGGCATTTCCTCTCGGCTTCGCAGTTCGGCTCGTTGGTCTGCGCCCAGGACTTTGCCTCTGGGCCTGTTCACAAAGCGAATAAAAGTTGAATTTAATGTAACTGGATTCTTGGGGCTTAAGTGCACTGAGATTTCCCCTTGTCCCTGTGTTCCTTCCCCTTCCTCATTCTTTCCACACCCCTCCTCTGAACTCATTATTAGTATTAGGTTCTTTGAGAATGACTTCTCACTCTCCCTGTGGTGTTTTGCTGTAGTTATTGTTTATTGTCATGGGAAGTACAGTTCAGCCATGTACAGGAAAGTAATATGTTTATTCAGGTATCTTGGATGAATCTCATTTTATGCCCGGACAGTTTCAAGTACTACAATTCCATTTTAAGGTTTAGAAATATTTAAAGGAGTAATCTTTCAGTGCATAGGATTGTGCCTTAAATTCTTATTTCTAAGTGTCTCAGGCATGAACTTGTAGTAATCAAATCAGTTCATAGTTATTTGTCTTTATGTTCCTTGTTTTCCACAAGCAACATAAATACATTAGGTTTTCTTTAAAAAAAAAACAGCTTTATTGAGGTACAATACTCCCATTTAAGTGTACAATTCAAGGATTATTTCGTATGTTCACAGAGTTGTTCAGACATACACACAGTCAATTTTAGAACAGTTTTAGCACCTCAGAAAAGGATTATCTATTAGCAGTTACTCCCCATTTCCCTCCTGCCTCAGCCCTAGGCAACTCATCTGTAGATTTCTGCCTCCGTAGATTTGTCTCTTCTGAACATATCAAATAAATGGGATCATGTATATGATCCTTTGTGACTGGTTTCTTTCACTTAGCGTGTTTCCAGTGTTCATGATGTAACATGCTTGTATCGGTACTTAATTCAGTTTTATGACTAAACATTCCATTGTGTGTATATATGTGTGTGTGTGTATATGTACATGTATACACACATTTTATTTATCCATTACTAGTGATGGACATTTACTGGTTTTCACTTTTTGGCTATTATGAATAATGCTATGATCATTTTTGTACAGGTTTTTGTGGGCACATGTTTTCATTTCTTTTGGGAATGGAGTTGCTGGGTCATATGATAATTCTATGTTTAACATTTCAAGGAACTACCAAACTTTTTCAGAATGACAGAACCATTTTACAATTCCACTCTCAGTGTCTGAGGATTCCAGTTTTTCCACATGCAGGACAGCACTTCTTCTCTTTTTTTTTTTTTTTTAAGATTTTATTTTTTTTAGAGAGAGAGGGGAAGGTAAGGAGAAAGAGTGGGAGAGAAACATTCATGTAAGAGAGAAATGTCATTCATTCGCCCCTTGTTCACGCCTGGACCCTGGATGAACCTGCAGTCCAGGCATGTGCCCTGACCAGAATTGAACGGGCAACCCTCTGCTTTGCAGAACAGTGCCCAACCAACTGAGCCACACTGGTATACGGTGGATGGGTATGAAGTAGGATCTCATTGTGGTTTTCATTTGCATTTCTGTGGTAGCTAATGATGTTGAACATCTTTTCATGTGTTTATTGCCCACGTATGTATTTTCTTTGGGAAAATGTCTGTTTAGATTCATTGCCCATTTTTAGATTGGTTTGTCTTCTTACTGAGTTTTAAGAGTTCTTTTTATATTCTGGGTACATGTCTCATCAGATACATGACTTTGTAAACATTTCTGTCATTCTGTGAGTTATCTTTTTTCACTTTCTTGTGTACTTTGAAGCACAAATGTTTTTAATTTTGATGAAGTCTCATTGAAGCCCTATTTATCTGATTTTTCTCTTACGCTTTTGTTATTTATCTAAGAAGTCTTTCCTAGACCAGCATCACCAAGGTTTTTTGGCGGGGAGGATTTTTATAAGAGTTTATTTTAGCCAAACCGACAACATATGCTGAGGAGCAAGATCTCATATGCTTCCCAGGGTCTCAAAGATTTACTTCTATTGTTTTCTTCTGTTGGTTTTATAGCTTTAGCTCTTAGATTTAGGCATGTGATCCATTTGAAGTTAATTTTTGTGTGTGGGGGAAGAAGAGATAAAAGTTCATTCTTTTGCATGTGAAAAGTCCCAGCACCATTTGTTGAAAAGGGTCTTCTTTCTTCATTTGAATAGTCTTGGTATCCTTGCTGAAAATCAGTTGACCATAGCTGTATGGGTTTATTTCCATTGTTTATCCTTATGCTGCTACCACATTGTTTTGATTACTGTAGTTTTGTGGTAAGTTTGGGATCAGGAGTATGAGTCCTCTGATTTCATTATTTTTTCTGAAGGTTATTTTGGCTATTCTGGGTCCCTTGCATTCCACATGAATTTTTGGTTTAGCCTATCAGACTTTAGGTTTTACAATGTCAACTTAACAAAACTTTTATTTTATTTTATTTAAAGATTTTATTCATTTATTTTTAGAGAGAGGGGAAGAGAGGGAGAAAGAGAGGAAGAGAAATAATGTTGCCTCTTGAGTGCTCTCTACGGGTCAACCTGGCCCGCAACCCAGGCACTAAGTGCCCTAAACTAAGAATGGAACCAGCGACCCTTTGGGTCCCAGGCCTGCACTCAGTCCACCAAGCCACATCAGCCAGGGCTATACAACTTTAAAAATAATCAATTAAAATGACATGCTTAAAATGTTTTGCTTATTTTTAAAATATATATTTAAATTTTTTATTTATTGATTTGAGAGAGAGACAGACATGATTTTGTTATTCCACTTATGTATTCATTGGCTGTTTCTTGTATGTTCTCTGACTGGGGATCGAACCCTCAACCTTGATGTATTGCATAACACTAACCGACTGAGCTACACAGCTAGGGCTGTTTTGCATACTTTTTGATGCATGAATGTGTTTTAGAAGTTTAATTTAGTAGTATTTTTAAAGTTATCTTTTGTTTTCTGTTAGCTGAGCTTTGAGAACATAGCTGAGCCTCGTGTGATATTTTTGGCCATTATGAATAATGCTTCTATAAACATTTTTGTACAAGTTTTGTGTATGTTCTTTTTTTTAGGCCCTTTTAATAGAGGAATAAATTTGGCTATCTGAAATCTGCAGTGAATCCCAAATCTAATTAGTTTCAGGCTTTGCCTTCACTTCACTATTGAATACAAATAGTTAAAATAGACTGCATTTTATTTTACTTCCAAGACTGGTGTTGGGGCCGAAAGCTCTAATTAATTAGAGTTTTAAAAGCTCTGGAGGAGAATTAAATGAACTAGGGAAGTCTAGGAACCAAATAACATCTGAGAATTTGATAGTTGTCTGTTTAAAACAACTTAAAAATTTTCATATCTTGGGATCACTTACAAAATAATTTCTTAAAATAGACAACTTACAACTAATTTTTTCTCCTTGAATGTTTAAAGTGGCACTGACAGAACAAAATAAAACTTGCCAGAGTGAGATAATGGGAACCTTTAAAGTTTTAGGTTTATAACCAAACATCCTATTAATTGTTTTTCCTCCTACATGTAAAAAGACAAACCTTTTGTTGTGGCATTTTATTAGAGGAAAATTTAAAGCATTCAAACTCTCTTCAAGCTTTTTTTAAAGCAGTACATCCTGCCTTTTTCTTTAAAATATAATTTTTTAACTCAAACCGTATGTTATGTTACAGATTTTACTTATATAATATTAAGGAAAGAAGAATTAATGTACTCAATATTTGCACTTCCTAAATGACAGGTGTTTTGTTGCTGATAAGTCAGTTTTTGCCACGAAGGATAAGCACCATTGGTAATCAAGCTGAAAATGTTTTTCTTTTGTATTAAAATTGGACTACAAAAATCTTTTTTTATTTATTGATTTGAGAGAGAGGTGTGGGGGAAGAGAGAGATTTGTTGCTCCACACATTTAAGCATTCATTGGTTGATTCTTGTATACGTCATGACTGAGATCGAACCCATAACCATGGTGTATCAGGACAATGGCAGGACATCAAAAATCTTAATAGCAGACACTACACCATTGCCTTTAATATGTAAAAACAGCTGTTGGCTCATCAGAAGATATATAACTTTAAAAAGATATCAACAATTATTACAATGAGGAAGCGTGTGTGCTGCCCCATTCTCCTAAGAGTCAAGCACTAGTTAGTAATACTTTTTAGAGTCTCTATGTTATCATTGCATCATAACTATTAAAATAGCTTTATGTTTTGTATAAGTTCAGGTTATTAAATTCAGGAGTTAAATTTTTTTTAAGGAATGGATTTCAGAGGTGATAATTATTGAAGGGGGAGAATAAGAACACAACATGCTTGAATAAATAGCTTAGAGTTCTCATTTTGAGGCATTTTTCAAAAGACACCAAGTATTTTTTAGCATACATCACATTGTGATAAACTGACATTTTTAGTTAGGTAACTTTCCAAAGATTATCTCTAGTCAGCATATCAAGAATGAACAACAGTTATCTTAGGAATTTTTGTCCTGAAGTTTTTCCTTATTTCTTTCCTTATTTCTTTTACTGATTAACCAGTGCAACAGTCTTATTCCATTTGTTTGC